TGAATGACGTCGATTGACATGACGCACTTCAAACTAGTCTGATGCCAAACCACGTGATTGAAGGAGCCAGTCGAGCGACCATCACTCCGATACTTCCAGTTTCTAGAACAGGCGCTAGACAGCGCGGGATCACCGATCTGGAGCCCCTCGAGTCGACCGCAAACGTGTTGTTCCGGCTCGTTTTTTCGTTCGTCACTCGTGTGTCCCTCCTTCGTGGGCCCTGATGGGAAATCCAGCACCGCCTGCGGTCGTGGTCGGGCGGCAGTTGCGGGATTTTATCGGGAACGACCTCCACACGAACCGCTGGAGAAAGTGCTTATGTAACAGAATGAGAACACCTCAGACGCAGGGTGTAAGCTCTGTTAATGAGCGGCCACACCAGGGCCGGCCTGTGTGAAGACCTGTAACCTGTAACTTCGCCTCCTGGGCAGGACAGGACGACATGACGACCCTGTCAGGGCTGTCTGTCCTGTACATGCTCACTACTCACTCACTCAGTACTAGAGGCGAGAAGTCATCCTCACGGCCAGACAGGGACTGAACCGCAGGGCCCACCGAGTCTCCCACTCCGTCCACACAACTATCACCGACACCCGGATCAAGTCTTTTCGCTCAATTTGTTAGCTTATTGTATTTTTTTTCCCCCCAAAGTAAACCTGCCGGTGCTGAGCAGAAATTTTCGTCAGGGTAACAGTCCTTCGTCGACATTTTACAAGAACGCCAAACACTCCCACATCACAGCCTCACACAAGTAAGACATTCGGGATTCGGAACACGCGATCCAAGATCCAAGAGGGAGTTCATTAACCCCGCAATGTCAACCAAGTCGGGTTTTTAAAGATGCAGATTGATTACTTTTCCCCCTAATTAGCTGCGGCCCCAACGTTTACCTCAGTCGCGCCCCTTCACCGTCCTCGAGACTGCCCCTGAGCGCGCGCGAGCGGAGCGCGAGGGAGGCGCTCGGAGGCCGACCCCGCCCCCTCTCGATCCTCATTGGCTGAGAGGTGCATGCCGGTTGAATCGGTTTTTAGACAAACTACCAGAATTTTAAGACCCGATCTGCACGTTAACAAAGAAAAAAGAGACAGACTTAAAGAACGTCACGCTGAGCTCCGACAG